TGAGGTTAAACAAAATCCTTTCAATGTGAACACTTTCTCAAATGAGTCAGTGTAATCGTGGATGTGGCTGAAGAAGGTGCAGTGGGTTTGCAGGATGAAACAAGGCTGGACCTGGTTGGTGGCATCGCTTCTCTGGTTAGTCCCTCTTCTAACCAGACCTCATCAAAGAGCTCGCTCACTGTGTAGGAGGGGACAGAACTGTCCCTTTAAGAATGCAAAACCAACACAGCACAGTAAATAGTATTCAGCTTTCCTCTGAGGAACAAGGATCAATAAGTACCTATTGGGCAACATTCGATACATCAATTTTCCCTCCTTTGTAGACTGATATTGACAGAATGAATACATGCTGATGTCAGGGCATGCTCTGGAAGTCCCTCTTTCTCTCAATAAGTGTTTGGTATTAGATTCACCATATGCCTTTTGCTTGCTCTTACAAGTAGAGCATCTAGCCTCACAGAAGATGTGGCCAAAAGATGGTTACATCTTAGGGAATAAAGTCCAAATTTTAAAAAAGGAAAATAACTTTTGATCTGCCTTAACAGTTATTCTATCCAAAGATAATGCTAACTAAGTGTAGTAGTAACCTTTGGGGTGGGGGTCAGCTCGGCTACAGCACAGTTCTTATAAGACCAGTTTTGGCCATTGACACCAACTCATTAGCAAGATGGAACCTCCTAAGAGGCACAGATGCGCACTTACTGTGTACACAACAACCTGAAAGCTAAATTATCTTAGTGAGGATAAATCTTTGGTTCTTTCAGAACTACCTTCACGTTGAATGTTATTTCCTCCATGACGTACACGCGTTCAGGAAATGCTTTAGCCACCTCCTCCACACTGTTGAAATATTGCACTGGCTCCTTTACATCTCGGTCTTGTTCCAGCAGCTTGAATTGCCCTGAAATACGTGATAAACGGAAGAGATATGAGATGTTTACGCTGGACAGCTGTCACCGTGGCGACAGCATCCCCTTTCCTTACTCCCACTCTTCTCTGTCAAAGGCTTTCTGAGCATTATCATTCAAAAAAAGAAAAAGTTACAGTGGCAAAAGGTTTTCTTGAACTAGGATATTTATTTAAAAATCAGCTTAAAAATGAAAGCAAACATATTTTTTCTTTTTTTGCTTACTTTCAGAGTTTATTACCAGAGGATCAATAACAAATTTGATGGATGCTTACTTGTAATGTAAACTCGATGTTGAAAACTTAATGTGTTATATAAATGGTTGCTCATGTTGTTTGTGACAGTAACTCACATTGTCGTTTAGTTGTAATAATGCCCCCCCCCCCATACATTATATTCTAAAACCAAGGCTGAGAGGCCTGGGGGAACTGATTTTTTTTTACTTAATATTTTTTAAATGTGCAATGGAATAAAATAATATGTGGACCCTTAGCTTTCACAGATATCCTTGGTTTCAACAATACGTAGGTGATGCTGAGGGCTCAGGAGCTGCTATAATTTGTAATTCTATAGCTTGGCTGCGGCACACGCGTGGGGCTTGAGACCAAGGGGCCTGGGGCGGGCGCTGGGAGGAGGCCCCTTGCAGTGAGTGAGCCACTTGGCATCTGGAGCAGCACGTAGCTTCCATCTTTCCTTTTTACTACCATATGTGAAATTCATGAGAGTAGAATATACTATCAAAGTATCCATAATTTGGGGGATTTCTGAAGAACTCTGAACATATTCCTAAAAATGTCAAGGCTCTATTATGCTGCTTGGACGTTTTTGGTATTTGTGATACTGCTGCCACATTCTAGAGGAGCTGCTTTCGGTTTAGAATAAAAGACCATATACAATCAAGTCCATGACGCCATGTTTCTTAGTGGTCATTTTCTGAACACTGTTTACAATATAACACTTGAGAAACTTGAAAAGGAATGAAAAGCTATTATGAGGCAGATCTCTCTGCATGCGTCCACGGGGCATCAGGCAGAAATAGGGACACTTTCATACTTTCAACACATTTTCTTTAAAGCATCTACTAGGTGGAGGCATTATTCTAGATGCTGGAGATAAATCAATCAAGAGACCAGATAAAAATCTCTGTCCTTTTGAAGCTTACACTGAAGTGGGAGACAGAGGATAAATACAATCAATCAGTAGAATATATGCCAGAAGGTGAGACGTGCCATTAAAAATAGGGTGAGGGGGTTGGAGAGTGCAGGGTGGCCAGAGTAGGCATGGCTGAGACAGTGACTTTGATGTAGCTGGGCAGTGAGTTCTTAGAGCTCTAAGCACACGCAACAGTCTACACAGAAACCCTCAGGCGGATGGGTTGGTGCATCTTTGGCATGCTGTGGCTGGAGTGGGGGTGAGTAGAAGCTAAGAAGGAAGAGAAAGAAAGTCAGAGAAATAACAGGTGGTTTAGGTTGTCCACAGCTTTGCAGAACTGTGGCTCTTCATCTGAGTGCGATGGGGAGCCACCTGAGGGGTCTAAGTGCAGAAAAGGCGATTTAACCAATGTTACAGAAGAATCATTCTAGTTGCCGTGTTGAGGACACGCTGTAAAGGTGCCAGGTGTAGAAGCCCAGACACCAGTTAGGAGGGCCCTGCAATCATCCAGGTATGAGACGGCCGGGGTTTGGAAGCAGTGAGGAATGTGGGCTGAGCGGCTGAGGAACGGAGCTGCCACTAACTGAGATGGGCAGGTCTGGAGGGGTAAGATGAGGACGTAAGATCAGGAATTCAGTCTGGACAGGTTACGTCTATTAGACATAGAAATGGAGATATCCCGAAAGCTCTTAGATGGATACATAAGTGTGGATGTCAGGAGAAAGGTCTGGCTGGAAATAGTAACTCTGGGCGCCACTGGAACATGGATGATATTTAAAGCCATGACATTTTTTTTTTTTTTTTTTTTTTTTTTGCGGTACGCGGGCCTCTCACTACTGTGGCCTCTCCCGTTGCGGAGCACAGGCTCCGGACGCGCAGGCTCAGCGGCCATGGCTCACGGGCCCAGTCGCTCCGCGGCATGTGGGATCTTCCCGGACCGGGGCACGAACCCGCGTCCTCCGCATCGGCAGGCGGACTCTCAACCACTGCGCCACCAGGGAAGCCCAAAGCCATGACACTTTAATGATGACAACCACGGTCTCAAGTGTAGACTGAGAAAAGGTCCAAGGTTTGAGTTCTGGGAGACTAAGGACTGGCCAGGAAAATAAGAGAAAAATCCAGAAGTGCTACATTCTAGAAGCCAGGTGATTCGAGTGCCTCAAGGAGAAGAAGCGGGAGTGACGTCAAATGCTGTGCACAGGACTGTGAAACGAGACTGAGAACTGCTGGATTTAGCAGCTTGTGTTTAGCTGGGGATTTTGATACGAGCAGTGGAATAGCTGGGCCAAAGCTTGATTGAAACTGAGAGCCTGAGAAAGGAGAGCTGGGAATAACAAGAATGGACAGCAGGTGATGTTTCGGAGAGTTCTGTGATGAGGGGAGAAGAGACACTGAGTAGCAGCTAAAGGGAGGAAGTGGGATGGGGCCCAGAGAGTGTTTTTGTTTCCTCAGTACGATGGGAGAAGTACCAGCATGTTTGATGCTGATGGGAACGACGCACAGATGATAAGCAAGATTACTGGAGCACATCCTTGAGGACATGGGGGGACATCAGAGTGGAGGAGCTGGCCTTCAACAGGAGTTCATCTGTGGCAGGTTCAGTGGGACCTGGGGGAAGCTCCCTCTTATTGCTTCAATATTTCCAGCTAAAGTGGGAAGGCAGGCATCAGTTGAGAATAAAGTTGAGAGAGGAGGTGTTGGAGCTTAAGGAAAGAGGGGAAGATTGTAAAAAGTCCAGTGAGGGGTTTCCCTGGTGGCGCAGTGGTTGACAGTCCGCCTGCCGATGCAGGGGACACGGGTTCGTGCCCCGGTCCGGGAAGATCCCACGTGCCGCGGAGCGGCTGGGGCCGTGAGCCACAGCCGCTGAGCCTGCGCGTCCGGAGCCTGTGCTCCACAACGGGAGAGGCCACAACAGTGAGAGGTCCGCGCACCGCAAAAAAAAAAAAAGTCCAGTGAGAATGAATACCATAATACGTCTGGTGGGCAGCCCTAAGTTCCCACTTGAGGTTAATGGTCAGCATTTGAAAATGAAACCAAACACTCTAGTTGTGTGTTTTCCTCTAGCCAATGTATGACGCCCAGGGGCTGGCGTGAAGCGGGTAGAGATTTGGATTCAGCCAATTACCAAGTGAGTATGAGACGTGAAAGAGGGACAAAGCAGGCAGGATGTATGCAAGGGAGTTCACGGAGCTTGAGCTGGACCCAGCATCTTGGGAGGGAGAGAAGAGGATGAAAATAATCATGGGATCAACGGATGGCAGGTTCTGACGGACTTGATTTCCGTGCCCTGGAGGAGTGAGCTTGAGAACCAGGCAGAGGAGAGAGGTCAGAGAGTGGTATGTATGCGACTGAGATCACGGAGGGATGGAGCTGTTGGCGATGCTGTGGTCGAGGGGGCGACCATGGGAGGTAAGCATTGTGGTGGTGAGAAGCTAAAGGAACTGAGAAGCCAGGGGTATCAAATGAATCATACAGGTAAGCACTGAAATCTCCAAGGGTGAGGAGAGAAGCACTGCTGGGGAGAACGGCAGTGAGCCAGGAGTGAGAACCATGGGGAAATGAGGGAGGAATCCTAGGCTTGGTAGATGAATGTACCAACAATGGGGGGAGCAGGGGATGCTGTCTGATGACAAGAGATTTACAGCTGAGTTTTTAGGGAGCAGTGAAGGTCAGGGTAGCAATGAAGACCATAGAGACACTTATATCCCCTCAACTCTGGGGCAAAAAAAAAAAATAGAGCTACCACCTGAGAGGCCTTCAGAGAAGCAGTGTTTTCAGGGCATATGCAGATTTGGGTTTTAACAAAATGAAAGTAATTTCAGAGGAGGGTTTAAGGATGTAGGGCTTTTGCTAGCGATGAACCTTGATGGAAGCATTTTCAAGAGTTAAAGGGTAGGTGATGAGGACAAAATAGAGGATGCACCTAGACATAACAGCTCATGTACCTTTTAGAAAATGTAGAGGGATGAATAACACATTTGAAAATACAAAATACGTTGGACTGTACCTTTTTCATAAAAAACAAATTTTTAAAAATCAAAAAGATTATGGCAATCTCAATACTACTTATTTAAACAAATTCTGCCAAATTAAACTTTTCATTTGTCATTATTCTACTTAGTCTATGTACAAATTTTTAATAACTGGTTTATCTACAGCTTTATACTGTTTCTCTCTGTATTTTCCTACATTTTCCCACGTGATGACACAATACTTGCATAGCACTTAATAATGGATTTAACTATTTTTCTATTCTTACGTGGTCAGTCTGAGTTTGGCACGTGCCTAATGTAAGTGGGAACTCTGCCATGTACACGTTTTATGATGCTGGCAAATTACTAATCCATCTGAGCCTTGCTTCTTTGCCTGTAAAGTGGGGACACTTCATAGGGCTGCTGTGGGGATTAAGTGAGATGATGCAAAGTACTCAGCACAAGTAGCCACTCAGCAACTCTGGGCTCCCTTCCCTCTTCTGCAAAGAGATTTTCTTTTGTCTTCTGGCTCACATTTTAGGGATAAATTTTCTAGCGTGAGGTTATTAAATCAAAGAATAATACACAATTCCTTATGTTTACCATGCACGGCTATATTTTTTTCCAAAATGCCAAAACCCATTTATATTTCTATGAATAGGCTACAAGCCTCCTAGTTGGGGCACAATCTTGCCAGAACTGAGTATTTTTTCAATTAGACAATTCAATGCATATTAAAAAGCATCTCTTTCCTGTATTAATCTGCATCTCTTTGAAGATCAGTGAAGCTAAACATTTGAATTTTTCTTGTACAAAACGACTGTACAAATATATAGTAAATATATTTGACATAGTCTACATTTCTTTTCA